CTATATTTTTTATCTTAACCTTATAGAGACTATCAGTGAAGAGGACTTCCAGAATTGCGTGTGTTTAAAGCAAAGTTAGCGTCTTTTAGCTATAATAAATTTTGTCAAAATTTATTTATTTATGTGTGTGTGTGTGTGTGGCCAGCTCAGCCCACCAGGGGGCGGGGCTGGCTGGCATGTGGTGCTGGGGGATTGAACAGGGTCCCTGTGCTTTGCTAAGCTTGTTCTAAGTAGGTGCTTTAGACCACTGAGCCATCTCACCAGCCCCTTTGTCAAAATTTAAACATTCACTGTATCTTTCGATCACCTCCGGTACAAGGGTTCAAGAGAACCTTGTCTCCTCCATGGCACGTGTCTCAGGCTCACTGCCAGGACACCTGACGTGCTCCCTGCATAGAATGATTCCTCTGGTGCCGAAGGTCCTACATCTTCCTGACACCTGCCAATATGAAGGTATGAATGTACCCGACTGACAATAGAAAATGATCACCAAGGGGGCCTGCCCATTAGCTCAGGTGTTTAAGTGCTTGCTGAAACACAGCAGTCAGGCTCAGGATGCTGTGGATCGATCCCCTCATCCTCAAGTCAAACCAGACCTAACCTGAAGGCTTCCCGAGGGCCCCCCCCCCAAAAAAAAAAGAAAAGAAAACGATCACCAAGAGACATGCAGGAAAATGTTCACAGCAGAGCTATTCAGAATAGCCCCAAACTGGAAACAACCCTAATGTGTATCAGTAGCCAAATGCTAAATCAAGTGTATTTCACAGAATGCAACATGATCTGAGAAGCAACAATCTACAACTGCACATAGAACACAGATGAATTCACAACCATAATACTAAGCAAAAAAGTTGGAAACAAGAGGATATGTATGACACCCTCCATTTACAGGACAAGTAAGTCTGCACTGCGAGAGGTGGGGAGAGCAAGCAACCCTTGGAAGGGAGGCAATGCCTGCAGGGCAGGAAGGGGGCTTTCTGGGTGCTGGTGGGGCTCCACTTGTTTACTCAGTGCCGGGTGAAAGGGGGTGAGCTTCAATTAGTGGAAGCTCATACATGTTTCTGTAGTTATGAAATACCTCGATAAACTGGAAAAGTGCCTAATATTCATGAGATAAGGGGAGTCACTTCACCCCTCCCTCCCACTTTTCCTCACTTCACCTCCAAGCCAAATCTTCCCACTTCTGCCCCAGATCAGAAGCGGCTTCACTGGGCACTCTCCACAGTCACGTCTCATGCAGAGGACTTCCTCACTGGCCTGGGCTCCTGGCTCTGCCTTTCCCTCCCTCCCCACAGAGCATGGAAGAAGAGGGGGCTCATGGGATCCAAGAGCAACTGCACAAAGCCTTTTCAGGGAACAGCTCCCAATAGCCCTGCACCCCAGGCCCCTCACATGCTCTCCCCTCCCCTCCTGGCCACCATCAGCTTGTCCTACAGCTCCTGGATTGAGTCACCTCCTCCTCCCCTTCTAGCCCAGCTCTCTGCTACCATTTTCCAGGACAGCCTTCACCTTTCCTCCACACACTGCTCCCATGGTGCAACCTGTGCAGTTCCCGGCTTGGAGTCTGCTCCCTCTCACTGCTGGACTGATACCCCCAACCCAAGCACAGGCAAGAAAAGGGCTCTCCATCCCCAGCTCCCAGCTCAGTGTCTGGCTTACAGCAGGTGCTCAAACATGCTTGGATTGATGCTGAACAAACGAATGGTCAGGCCTGCCGGGCACATAGGTAGTCTTGGAGGGAGGCAAAAATCACATCTGGGGCAAAATTCCCACTTGTCTGGGGACATCTGGATCGTGGTCCTGGTTCGGCCACGCACTCACAGTATGGCAGAGTCAGATGAGTTGGGTGAGTTGCTCCCTTTCTCTGGGCCTCAGTGTGCTTGCTTATGAAATGCAAAGGTGGATGTGACATACACTAGCATGGGTGGGCTTGAAGATGTAGATGATTCTCTGTGTGTGTGTGTGAGAGAGAGAGAGAGAGAGAGAGAGAGAGAGAGCGCACGCATATGCACCTCCCTAGCAAAAGCATCCATACCTTTCACAGATTCTGTGAGAGAAATATGTGACCTCAAAAGGCTCAGAACCACTAACCAAGATCATTTTTCAACTCTAAGGGTTGTTGATTCTATAATCAGAGAGAAGAGGAAGTAATCTAACCCAGAGCAGCAAGGGTTGGATTAGACCCCAGAATTTCCATCAGGTTTATAGGACCCCACAGAAAAAACACAAGGAGACTGCAGGCCCTGGGTCCCCCGGAGCTTCCCAAGCTCAAGGGGGGTCTGGGCTAGAAGAAGCAGAGACCAGACAAGTTGACCTCAGGGCTGGTCATGGCAGGGAGGAGGCAGAATCAACCTGGAGCCTCTTCCCCTTTGCTCCCGCCACCATCAGACAAGCACCCACTTGTCCTGGGATATGGCACAGAGCAAGGAGGTGAGGTTGGCACCTGGAGATGCCTGCCAGGCCCCTTGGCGCCCAGGTCAGAAAAGGTTGGCGGGAATGCTCAGGAGGGGTGCCAAGCCTCACCCTCCTCCCTCCTGAGGCCAGCACATGGGGCCAGAGGAGGGTTCAGATGCAGGGGAACTGTGGATCAGAAGCTACTGGGAGGTGCAGGACTCATGGGCTCTGACAATGCAGACTAAGGCCTGCAGCCTCCTCAGGGTGAGTAGGAAGAGCAGACCACAAATTCAGGCCAGGGGCAGAAATAGGAAGGCTGGGGTCTGGGGGCAAACAGCACTCCGTGGAGAGAGGAGGTTGCTTGTGAAGCTGAGCCAGGCAACATGGCCAGGAAGAGCAGCAGGGCTGGAAATGGAGTCAGTGACAGGGGCCCAGCCTGTGGCTCAGGCAAGAAGTGTGGGCTATGGAACCCCTGGCAAGAATGGCAGCATGTCTGTAGCAGAGCCGTCAGCAGGAGGGCTCTGGCTGCCAGCCCAGATGCCTGGGTAACTTCTGAGCCCTGGCTCTGAGGGGGTGAGAGCCCGAGAGATGTTTATCCACCACAAAAACGTGGGTACCACGCCTCCTCCAGCAAGGGCCCAGGTGATAGGCGGCAGCTGCTCTTTCCTGGGCCACTCAGTCTCCTGAGAGCTGCACTGTGAATGGGGCCTGGGCAGGGGGAGAGCTACCGCCCCCACAGCCCCTGCTGGAGCCAGAGCCAGGGCACACGGTGGGGCCTCGGTTTTATCCATGCAGATAAAGGACGGAATGAGTCACAGCAAGTTCTCTCAAGGGGCCGCTGGGAAACCAGCTCATCCGAATGCAGACATACACTCGGTCTTCCTGTCTGTGTCCCTGGTGCTGTCACACAGCAGCACACACACACCTCCTGTTCCTTCCCCTCTCTGTGGTCACCCATTCCAGGGACCTGGTTCCCTCCCCCCAACTCAGCTGTGACTGTGACTGTGACCCCCCATCTCTGTCCGCCCTCACTTGGTCCAAAGACACCCATCCATCCCATGGGGGATGGGCCTGGGAGATGTGGGGGAGAAAGCTTGCTGCAAGGAAACTTGGACCAACAGAGTCCTGAGCCCACAGGCCTAGGTCTTAGGATGAAGTTAACAAAGAGAGCTTGAGGACAAGTGGAAAGCATGGGCAACTAGATGGCCTCAGCCCCCAGGAACTCTACCAAGTCCACAGGCAGGAGCTGACAACAGAACCTTGGGTGCCCAGAGGTCTGAGGTGACTCCCAGGGTTCTTTGCACCAACCCCAATACACCAGAAAAACAGCTCCAATTCCCAGAGGAAAAGCTCAGATTGGGAGGACTTCCTGGCCAAGAAAGATCTGAGCTAAACACAAATAAGGCAGAGAGACTATGACCTTCTCGCCCCCTGACACCTTCAAGGACAGAGGAGGAGGTAAGGTTCTGAGCAGTGGCAGAACCCTGATGATTCCCAAGAGGCTCCACTGTCTGACAGTTCTGCCTTGTCACCTACATTCCCCACCAGGACCAAGAGGTAGTCCAGGGTGCCAAATCCATGCCCAGGTCTCCTTCAGAATCACACTGGCACAAGAGCCACTGTGAAAGGCCAGGCAACAACCACATCCCCAGGAGGCTACGGCTGATGAAGAACTCAGTGTTCAGTTTACAAGTGCCCAGTGCTGTGCCTGGCACTGTGGAGTATAACCACAAATATGCCATAATCTGTGCCCTGCAGGGACACTCAGTTAGGTGGGGCAGAGGGCAGTCACCCAGGCACACACAACACACACGCGCACACATGCACGGAGCGTCCCAGACAAGCCGGCTTCACTGGCGGCCCCAATCAGGAGGCAGCGATATGGCCTAGGGTGTATGTGCAGGCACCCCATCTGCATGCCTCCTGTGGGGGGACGCAAAACCAAAGCTTCACCCAGAACACAGCTCAGCAGACAAATCTGAGGAGCTGCTGCTTTCCTAGGCCCACCAGGAGGAAGGCTGGGGGTCTGCAGGAATCCTGGAGCACCGCTGGCCCCAAATTCCTCCTGCTCTTGAGAGAGAAATCTGGGTCTGGCAAGGGGTTTTGGATGCTTTATCTAGAATAGATACATGTCTCCCTGGTCAGCTCCCCACTCAGGGCTCCAAGATTTACCCAGAACCAATGGGGGGGGCACCCCATTGGTCACCATCCTGCTCGCTGTGCTGGGACCCTGCTGGCTCAGAGGCCACCGGATTCCTGGCTAGAGTCCTCTGTGTGGGTAGGCAGCCACCTCTCTCCCTTGCCCTGCTCAGGGGACGTTAACCCTTTTCTTCCCTTACCCAGCACTCCTGTGTCCCCTCCGGCAGCGGCTCCCAGCCCTCCCCAGAGTTGTTTGTCTTCCTGAATCAAGCCCCACATAGCCTCCTCCCAAGGGCACAAGAGACCAAGGTGAGACCGACACGGAACTGCCTGTCCTCCCCTGGTGTAGTCCAACCCTGCTCCTGGGACGGCACTTTCCGGGCTTGTCTCTGTACCTGTGTCAGGTGGCCTGGGCTCTGCGGGCCACCCTCTCCAGACCAGGGCGTCCTTCCCGCCCAGAGTCCTACCTGGAGGAGCAGCCGCCGCCTCTCGGCGCGGGCCGAGCCCCGGGGCTCCCTGCTCTCTGCCCGCGCGGGGGCCGGGGGGCTCCCCGCGGGCGGCGAACCGCAGGGGGGCCCGGGCTCCAACGCCTCGCAGCACACCAGGCTCACGGTGCAGCCCATCCGGCCGGGCGCCCGGCGGGCTCGGGGCGGGGACACGGGCGCCCCGGGAGCTGGCCCGCCCCTAGCCTTGGCGACGGCTCGGCCCAGGGCGGCTACAACGCCGGGAGGGGAGCGGCGACGCCCCCAGCCCGGGCCCCGCCGAGCCCGCGCCTTTGCCGCCGCACCGCCAGGAAGCCGGGAGTGCTGGCCGGGCGAGGGGCGGGGACGCGGGCTCCGGACGCAGCCAGTGACGGAGACCGAAGGGCGCGGGGGGCGCGGGGAGGAGCGGCGGCGAAGTCCGGGGACACGGGGAGGGGACAGGGTGAGTTAGGAGTGAGAAAGAGACCCGTGGGGCAGAGAAGCAGATAAGGCAGAGAGTGAGCGAGATACAGACGCTGCGAGACTGGGGTAGGGATGCAGACGGGGCCTCTAAGAGGGGAAACCATCAGGGAAGGGACGAGGACAGGCAGGCTGGGGCATCGCGTGTGCCCCCTGCCCAAACTCCTGGAGTTTGTGAAAACTGCTCTTGCAGGTCTCCGCCCTCTGTTCTGTCCCCTCCACACTCCAGTGCAGCCCTGCCTGGGAAATACCTGTGGCTCGCGCAAAGCGCAGGCGCTGGGCCACAGCCCACCAGCGGAACGCCTGACTCCCTGCTGGGCACGACTTCCCAAGTTTCGCTTCCCTTCCTTGAGGAGCTAGTGTGTTGACTGGGCACTGGTGACAGCCCACATGGGACTCCTGAACAGGCCACAATGGAGAAGAGAGAAGGGGACAGGTGCGACCCTTGTCCTGGTTCACACTTGCGGCACACTCCAGCCAAGTAACAGTGAAAAGACAACTTGGAAGGACCGGTCTGGTCGGCACCTCAGGCTTTTTATGCCATCTGGTGGTGACAAGGAAGAAACACAAGCGACCGGAAGGAAACTTGCACAGCAGTAATTGCTATCACCAAGTCTGTGTTTGGCCAACAGGTGGCCCTGCCCCAGGTCAGCCTGAAAGAAACCATTCACCACCTCACCCACTCTGCCCCAGTGCCCTTGATCCTGCACCCGCCACTCCGCCCTGCCAAGGCTGGCTCCTCCCCCTCACGGTGCTGGGCTGGGCCTGCCTCACTTCCTAGACCACAGTGCTGTGTATTGCTCATAGTGTCTGGGGACAGGCTCAGGCTGCAGAGCGGTGTTCTCCAGCCCCAAGTGGCCAGGCCTTCCCAGGTGAGCAGCAGCAAGGGCCCTGGGGCTTGGGGCTAGCTGTGAAGGGGGAGGGCTGATGGGGGGACCTTCAAAGATAGGGGCAAGGACTTCATAGAGGATCTGGTTAAAAGAGGCTGCAGAGACCCTCCATTCAATCCCATGGTTTTACAGATGGGGAAACCAAAGCCCAAGAAAGACAAATGATTTGCCCAGAAATGCAGGGTGACTGAGTAGCCAGCCAGCATGAGAAACCAGGTCTCTTGACTGCCAACCCTGGGCTATCTACATGCCACTTGCCTCTTCCCCCTCCCCACTGACCTCCCTTCCCCTTTTCTCCTTTCTCCCTCTTTCCCCTCTGCTTTTCTCTTATTCACCATTATCCACTTGGGCCCTGCCCAAGAGGCAGAACACCTGGGTTTTCTACACCATGCCTAGTCTCAGCTCCAGGATTTCAGACTCATCCCAGCAATCACCAGGGCCACAGTGTCCCTCTCTGAGCTCCAGGACTCACTGGGAGAGCAGGCTGAGTACCCTGGGAGAGGGCAGCAGGACTCAAGCATGGTGTCCTTCTCCCCATAGTCCAGCACCCAGCCCAGATTCTGGAGCCTCACTCTGCCACCTGCTTCTCCTCGAGGACTGCACTTTTTCCACTCAGCTGGGGCCCTGGAAAGGATGAATGTGGGTATGTAGGAGGATGACACCCTGCTGAGGCTGAGGACTGTCCACTGGTAAAAGCAGGTGACATACTATGGGCCAAGGTCCTGAGGCACAGCATCGCTCAAGTACTGTCCTAAGAATGTAGATTTACCCTCCCTGTGTCTGAGGTCGCTTTGCATGAGAGTGCTCATAGCCTTCTAGGGCTACTGTGGGAATTGAATGAGACCAATGAGCATGGTTCCTCACCCCCAGGGGCTGCCCATCAGATGCTGCACCTTCATCTTCACACACTGTCCTCCAAGAAGGAAGCGGGGTTTTCACAATGCTAACTTGGCTGTGTGACCCTATATAAGGCACTGTCCCTCTCCAGGTTCTGCCTGTTCCTTTATATAAGGAGAGCGGGCCAATTAAACCCAGTGGGTCCTTCCTGGGCCACCTTGGAAGTCACAGAGACTTGAGTCATTTCCGATATTCATGGCAAAAGAAGGAGTCACCCTCAAGGTCACCAGAGACCTGGAAGGTGAGTGTTGCAGGAGAAGCAAGGGGCCCCAAACCATCTCCCCCAGAGGCCTCACTCCTAATGTCTACTGTCTGCCGTTGTCCCAGCAGCTGCGGTTTCTGCCATCCTCCAGAGCTATGGCAATGGGAAGGGGCCAGTGACAGACACCAGCGCTGAGCTGCACAGGCTCTGCGGCTGCCTGGAGCTGCTGCTGCAGGTGAGAGCACCTGCCCCCACTCTCCCTCCCCGCTTCCTTCCTTTCCTCTCCCGCATACTCTCCCAGGCCTAGATAACCAGAAGGGCTTTCCCAGATACAAGGGAAGATAGCTGTCTCCCTTGGGTGCTGTGTACCACCTCACCTCCCTCAGTCAGCAAGCCCTCTGTGGTATCCGACCTCATTCCTGGAAGATGTCGCTGCAACCTGGGAAAGGAGGTGGGGCAAAGCTGGGTGGGGTGAGACCAGGGTATGGCAACAGCCAACTTGCTTTGAAAACTAAACCTTCAGAGGTATGGGTGTCCCAGAACTGGTGCTTCTTGTGACAGATTACAACACAAATCATAACTACCACTAGTTTTTTCATGAACATTAACAATGTGCCAGACCAAGTCCTTTGTTTGCCTCTACTTTATTTAATCCTCATTCTTTGTTTTGAGACAGGGTCTCACTGTGCAGTCCAGGCTGGTCTTGAACTCACTATGATCCCAGGCTGCCTTCAGACTCACTATAATTCTCCTGCCTCAGCTTCCCAAATTCCGGGTTTATAGGCATGTACCACCATTCTCCGTCTAATCTTCACTCTACCTTTGTGAGATGCTTGATGACCTTCCCATCTGCAGATGAGTGTCTCTCCTACTCTGACTTCCTCCTTCGTCACTGCTGCATGTCTGCTGCACTACAGCTCCACTGCCCTTGATCCTCCTAGAGGGGTACCCCAGGCATGTGCCTCCCTCAGGGCCTTCACACTTGCTGTTCCCTCTGCCTACAATGCTATTGCCCCAGAAATTTACATTGCACAAGTTCTCATTTTCTTCCAATCTAGAAGATTTCTCTGGTTGCTGTAATTTAAAATTTCAGCATACAACACACACACACACACACACACACACACACACACACACACACACTTCCTATTTACTTTTTCTCCAAAGCTATCATCACCACCCAACATATTGCATGCTGTACCTATTTCATCTGTTCATTGTCTGTGCTTCCTACCAAGAGACAAGCTCTATGATGTCACTGGTGTGTCCCCAGAGTCGGAACAGGGCCTAGAACATGATGAGTTCCCAGTGAGTGCTCCTGAATGAATAACTGGGAACACGGAGGCTCAGCGAGACCAAGCATCCTGCTCGTGGTCACATACATAGTCAGCAAGGGCAGAGTCAGCACCCGAGACTCGGTCTGTGTGCTGGAGCCTTCTCCTCTCCATGGGCTGCTCTGTATGCTGCGGTGTGAGGTGGGCTCTAGGAGGAAGCATTTCTACCTTTTCTTTCCCTCATCTCCACCCAGTTTGAGCAGAAGGAACAGAGGAGCTTCCTGGGGCCGCGGAAGGATTACTGGGACTTCCTGTGCACTGCGCTGCGAAGGCAGCGAGCAGACATCAAGCAGATCCAGTTCATCTCCTTGCAGGACAAGGTAGCCACTGCCAGGGCAGGGAGCAGAACAGCGCCCTGGCACCAGGCCTTTGACAAGAACAGGGGTCAGACGCTGGCTTCCTGAGGTCCCTTTCTCACCCACCCCTGCTCCCCAGCTGTCACCCTCGCCTGATCCTCACTTTCATTGACCCGGCCCTCAGCACCCCTCCAGCCACCTCTCTCCTCCCTTCAAGTCCCCCAGCCCCTTCTCATCAGTCCACTCACTGCTCCGGTCTTAGCTGGCCGAGCGTCCTCTCTCCTAATACCACCCCCTCTTTGGTTTGGGGTGCACTCTGTAGCTGAAGACCTCTCTGGGCAAAGGCCGCGCCTTCCTCCGCTCCTGCCTGGCCCGAGGGCAGCTGGCTGAGACCCTGCAGCTCTGCCTCCTGAGCCCAGAGCTCACCAGGTAGGACTGCGGGTCACCCCTTCCCTGACTCCATCTGAGCCCACGGTGGCCCTCACCTGTGGTTGGCCCAGCTTCAAGGATGATGAAATGAGAGTCAGACAGGAAGAACAGAGGAAAGTCAGACCTAGGTGCAGGCAGCATGAAGGTGCCCAAACTCTTGTCTGGGAAAGATCTACCCAGAACCCCAGCAGCAGCTGATTCTTGAGTTTGGGGTGGCAATAGCACCGGAGTCAAGAAACAAAGGTGCTGTTGTTGCTAATATAGGGAATGGTATGGGCCTCGGAGCCCTCTGTTGTGCCCCGAACTCCAGGGAGACATCCTGGACTCTCTCTATACTCTCAATGGAGTGACCTTCGACTTGGACCTGCAGCGGCCAGACCTGGATGGGGCCTGGCCCATGTTCTCAGAGTAAGTGGGTGCAAGACTTCCCTGCTCCTGTGGCTCCCCACATCCCAAGCAAGCTCTGAACTCTCAGCTTCCATCCCCATCCATTTCCTTCTCCCTTCTTCTCCCTGACCTTGATCCTCCACATCTCTATAATGCTGTTCCATAATGCTGCATACCATACACAGTCCCTTGAGCCTGACTAAGTGGTTGGCATGGAAGGTTGGAAGGCTGAGTGGATCCTGGGGTGCTGGGATGGGATGGGATAGATCAGTGGTGGCAGACCTGTGGCACACATGTTATTGTGTTTTTCTTTTAAGACAAAAAAATGTTAATGTGAAGTTGTTTTTTCTCAACTAAAACCTCAATATTCGGATTTAATTGTAGTTTTGACACTTCACCATAAAAAAAGTGGGCTTTGGGTTGCAGTTTGGCACTCTGTCTCTAAAAGTTTTGCCATCACTGGGATGAATGG